ACTATCTTATCTGGAAGATTAACTCCCACTTGATTCAAGTGATTGTAGCACTCAGACATTCTGAGCACATGCTCACTAGCTGAGCTATTCTCCTCCATTTTCTAGGCAAAGTACTTGTCAAAGGTCTCATACCTTTCGACATGGGCATGAGTCTGAAATACTAATTTCAACTCTTGGAACATCTTATATGCTCCGTGGTGTTCAAAACATGTTTGAAGTCCCGGTTCTAAGCCGTAAAGCATGGTGCACTAAACTATCAAGTAGTCATCATACCGAGCTTTGCCAAACATTCATAACGTCTGCATATGCTCCTGCAATAGGTCCGTCACCTAGCGGTGCATCAAGGACATAATTCTTCTGTGCAGCAATGAGGATAACCCTCAGATCACGGATCCAATCCGCATCATTGCTACTAACATCTTTAAATTTATTTTTCTCTAGGAACATATCAAAAATAAACGGGGAAGCTATGTGCGAGCTATTGATCTACAACATAGATATGCAAATACTATCAGGACTAAGTTTATGATAAATTTAAGTTCAATTAATCATATTACTTAAGAACTCTCACTTAGATAGACATCCCTCTAATCATCTAAGTGATCACATGATCCAAATCAACTAAACCATGTCCGATCATCACATGAGATGGAGTAGTTTTCAATGGTGAACATCACTATGTTGATCATATCTACTATATGATTCACGCTCGACCTTTCGGTCTCAGTGTTCCGAGGCCATATCTGCATATGCTAAGCTCGTTTCAAGTTTAACCCGAGTATTCTGCGTGTGCAAAAGTGGCTTGCACCCGTTGTAGATGAACGTAGAGCTTATCACACCCGATCATCACGTGGTGTCTCGGCACGACGAACTTTGGCAACGGTGCATACTCAGGGAGAACACTTGTACCTTGAAATTTAGTGAGAGATCATCTTATAATGCTACCGCCGAACTAAGAAAAATAAGATGCATAAAGGATAAACATCACATGCAATCAAAATATGTGACATGATATGGCCATGACCATCTTGCGCCTTTGATCTCCATCTCCAAAGTACCGTCATGATCTCTATCATCACCGGCATGACACCATGATCTTCATCATCTTGATCTCTATAAATGTGTCATCATATGGTCGTCTCGCCAACTATTTCTCTTGCAACTATTGCTAACGCATAGCGATAAAGTAAAGTAATTGTATGGCGCTTGCATCTTATGCAATAAAGAGACAACCATAAGGCTCCTGCCAGTTGCCGATAACTTTAACAAAACATGATCATCTCATACAACAATTATATCTCATCAGGTCTTGACCATATCACATCACAACATGCCCTGGAAAAACAAGTTAGACGTCCTCTACTTTGTTGTTGCAAGTTTTACGTGGCTGCTACGGGCTGAGCAAGAACCGTTATTACCTACGCATCAAAATCACAACGATAGTTCGTCAAGTTAGTGCTGTTTTAACCTTCTCAAGGACCGGGCGTAGCCACACTCGGTTCAACTGAAGTTGGAGAAACTGACACCCGCCAGCCACCTATGTGCAAAGCACGTCGGTAGAACCAGTCTCGCGTAAGCGTACGCGTAATGTCGGTTCGGGCTGCTTCATCCAACAATACCGCCGAACCAAAGTATGACATGCTGGTTCTACTCGTGCATATAACATCTACGCATAAAACTAGGCTCCGATGCCACTATTGGGGAACGTAGTAATTTCAAAAAATTTCCTACGCATACGCAGGATCATGGTGATGCATAGCAACAAGAGGGGAGAGTATTGTCCATGTACCCTCGTAGACCGAAAGCGGAAGCGTTAGCACAACACGGTTGATGTAGTCGTACGTCTTCACGATCCGACCGATCCAAGTACCGAATGTACAACACCTCCGAGTTCAGCACACACTCAGCTCGATGACGTCCCGCGAACTCTGATCCAACAGAGCTTCACGAGAGAGTTCCTTCAGCACGACAGCGTGATGACGGTGATGATGTTACTACCGACGCAGGGCTTCACCTAAGCACCGCTACGATATGACCGAGGTGGAATATGATGGAGGGGGGCACTGCACACGGCTGGAATAGATCAACAGGTCAACTTGTGTGTCCTGGGGTGCCCCCTGTCCCCGTATATAAAGGAGCATGGGAGGAGGAGGCCGGCCCTAGGAGGGGCGCGACAAGGGAGTAGGATTCCTACTCCTAGTAGGAGTAGGTTTCCTCCTTTCCTAGTCCAACTAGGAGAAGGGGGAAAGGAGGGAAGGGGAGAAGGAAGGGAGAGGGGGGCCGCGCCCCAAACCCCTTGTCCAATTCGGACTGGGCTTGGGAGGGACGCGTTCCACCTCCTGGTTGCTGCCTCTCCTTCCCACTAAAGACCATTAAGGCCCAACACCTCTTCCCCGTATTCCCGTATTCCCGTAACTCCCGGGTACTCCGAAAAATACCTGAATCACTCGGAACCTTTCCGATGTCCGAATATAGTCGTTCAATATATCGATCTTTACATCTCGACCATTTCGAGACTTCTTGTCATGTCCCCGATCTCATCCGGGACTCTGAACTACCTTCGGTACATCAAAACACATAAACTCACAATACAAATCGTCACCGAACTTTAAGCGTGCGGACCCTACGGGTTTGAGAACTATGTAGACATGACCGAGACATGTCTTCGGTCAATAACCAATAGTGGAACCTGGATGCTCATATTGGTTCCCACATATTCTACGAAGATCTTTATCGGTCAAACCGCATAACACCATACGTTGTTCCCTTTGTCATCGGTATGTTACTTGCCCGAGATTCAATCGTCGATATCTCAATACCTAGTTCAATCTTGTTACCGGCAAGTCTCTTTACTCGTTCCGTAATGCATCATCCCACAACTAACTCATTAGTCACATTGCTTGCAAGGCTTATGGTGATGTGCATTACCGAGAGGGCCCAGAGATACCTCTCCGACAATCGGAGTGACAAATCCTAATCTCGAAATACGCCAACTCAACAAGTACCTTCGGAGACACCTGTAGAGCACCTTTATAATCACCCAGTTACGTTGTGACGTTTGGTAGCACACAAAGTGTTCCTCCGGTAAACAGGAGTTGCATAATCTCATAGTCATAGGAACATGTATAAGTCATGAAGAAACAATAGCAACATACTAAACGATCAAGTGCTAAGCTAACGGAATGGGTCAAGTCAATCACATCATTCTCCTAATGATGTGATCTCATTAATCAAATGACAACTCATGTCTATGGCTAGAAAACTTAACCATCTTTGATTCAACGAGCTAGTCAAGTAGAGGCATACTAGTGACACTCTGTTTGTCTATGTATTCACACATGTACTAAGTTTCTAGTTAATGCAATTCTAGCATGAATAATAAACATTTATCATGAAATAAGGAAATGAATAATAACTTTATTATTGCCTCTAGGGCATATTTCCTTCAACCTTCGCCTCTATCAACTGATCAACAGACCAAATCATGGCCATAGGTTAGGTGCTGGTTGTGGATTCCCTTATTTTGTAACAAGATGATTTTGTAGATTTGACTATTTTTATCCACTTGAATCGCAATGTTATGTTACAAGGGTTATTTCTGACAAGTGTGATGCGATTTTTAACAAAGCTTAACTTATTTTATTTTGGAAGTGCTTTTAAAGCATTTGCTGATGTCCGAAAGTTTTGCATGTTGTTATTGGCATGGCCCTCTCGCCTTGCTGGTGTGAATTTGAATGCTATGGTTACCCCTCTGCATTTTTCATCTTGTGAAATTTGAATGCTATGGTCGCCCCGCTATCGCGGCTTGGCTCGCCCTGCTGCCCCTCCACCCCGCCGCGCCGCCTTGCCCGCATCGCCTCGCCGCCCTGCCGACCTCGCCCTGCTGCCACTCCCCTCCGCCCACCTACCTCTTTGAATTATTATGTGTGTCCGAAATAATATTATTTGAATTATTATGTTGATAGAAATAGGAACTTCTTGTTGATGAGCACCATTAGATGCTCTAGGTCTTCATAAACAAGGAACTTAGATGCACACTCCACTAGTCCATAGGAGAGTTTTCATATATTCATATCTGTGTTAACAACCAAAGTTAACGGGGACCTTGATCTAGACCCTCAATGGGAATTTTAGAGGTAGGAGATGAAACTGACATGTGGGCCCACATGTTAACCGTCAAAGTTAACATAGTTGACTTTTCCAGCCTTGACGGGTGGGCCCAGACTGTCACAAACGGGTTTAAATGAGCCAAATCAAACACTCTCCTGACTTGTTAGTTTCCTGCCAAATACAGTCCAAAAGTGATAGTTTGGGGCATTTTTATCTTAAAGTGGTAGTTTTCTGTCAAGGTTGGTCGCAATGTGGTAGTTTAGTTGGAAATACTCTGTTTTCGATAAACCCATGGAAAGAAAGCCAACTATAGATACAAGTCATAAACCCAAACTTTTCAAAAAAAGGTCATAAACCCAAATGACGTATGGAGAGATAAATCGTTTTGAAGTTTTATTAGAAATAACATGTAAAACAGTCGTTGTTGTTTTTTATCCCTGCATTTATGTTGTGGCGCTATATTGCTAACGCGCCTACGCATATGTGTTTATTCCATCTTACTTGACTGAAAAATTAGATAGTTGTCGAATATCTATTTCTGAGCGCGAGCCCAGCTGATCCCGACATCTCCTCCGCTTGTTTGCGTTTGGATCTGTGCCTTCTACTGTATTTCACAACATATTTTTCCATTTTCATGCTTCTGCCAGCCGCTCGCATTGATTGCGACGGAGCTTCGCGTTCTCATGTCTGAACAGATACATGGAGGACGGATCGTCACGGATGCTGAGCCTTGCTGGTCCGTGTGTTCCGCTGGTCTGACCAACGTCGTCAGGTATAGGGACGCCATAAATGCAGGCAATTGCTTCCCAGCTGCCACGGCCATCCGCACTCTAGAAAATCCCCCATTCGGTTTCGCTCTCTGCTGCAAACCCTAGTCTACCTGAGCCACCATGTCTGCCTCGTCGTCCTCCTCTCTCCCTGTGCCAGCCGATTTCCCTCTTGATCTCATCAGGTGTCCCTTCTGCGGCGCGGATCTGGAAACCAATGTAGCAAGAACCGGGAGCAAGGCGGGGCAGCGGTTCTACAAGTGTGTCCGCTATGATGTAAGTTGCTCTGTTTTGTACCATAACTCGACCCATTGGTTTTGCTTTCTTCGATCAGATCTGTCAGATGAATCTCGCATTTTTCCTCCTCATTTTTTCACAGGCTCACGAATGTTGGTTCTTTGAATTTCAGACGGCCTACGTCAGAAGGATGACTCCGTACCAGATCGCCCGTGCTCAGCAGCAAGCGGGGGTGCTCCAGGTCCAGATGCAGGCAAACCCGGCCGGCATCGTCGCTCCACCTGCAAACCAGGCTCAGGTCCAGGCGAACCAGGGTCAGAATCACCCTCTAGCGACGCCGGAGACCGTTTTGGTGAACCAGATCTTCAGGCCCATCGCAGCTGCTGCTTCTGGTTCTCAGGCGCTGGGGGCAACAGCTTTCATCCTTGCCGCTAGCAACATCATGCTCACTCTGCTGCTTCTGTTGTTCGTTGTGGCCATCTATTTTGGCGGCGGTAACTAGTTCGTTCTTAGTACGACATACGTTGACATTTCGGGAAGGGTTCTTAGCAAAAGTGTGTGTGTGATGCTCGACTGCGGATTTGGTTGTTCCTAGTTTGCCTTAGGCAATATGATTAGGGAATTAATGGTGTTCAAGGGTGGCTCCCTTTACCTCTAAGTCTGTTTACCAGAACATGTAATTCATACTCTAATGTAACGCACTATCTGGAACTAATGAAGCTTTGCTGTGTTAGTTAATCAGTTATCAATTCCATTTAGTATACAGTGCATTTTTTATTTTGGTTGTTTGTTCTTTATTTTTAACGTACTCAACTCCATTATACAGCCCAACAGATGGACCTCACTCGTCATCTCCACCGTTTGGTACCTCCTCTCCGAAAGGAACACGCGTCTCGATCGTTCTGAAGTCACCGAGCTGCACAACATACTGTGGAGGTTGCGCATGCTGTATTCATTGCATACCTGCATCCATCTACCCTATCTACCCACCCACATCGCCTTTCTTTACACACCACTCATTTCATCCCCTACGCCCACCCAACTCTGGTCGCCCTCATTGCCTCTAGAGTTCCTTGTTCGTCGTCCCAACTTGGCGGAAAGGATCTCGCCTACAGTTGTTTTATGCATCGAGATCTTCAGCTCTTAGCGAATAGTATGTTTACATACTAGCCGTCCAATCTACATTGGTTACAAACTCGTTTGTGTCCTCGGAAGACGATAGCCTGAATCTAATACATCTTCGTGAACTAATTGTTGACAGGATGAACAATATTCAAATTCTGATAGCTGCGGGGCGGACGCAGATGGATCTGAAAGTGCGAACGCACCGGCCGGTCAGCAAGGTCTGCACGCTGCCCTGGATGAATCTTCTTCCAGCGCCAGGAGTGGAGACCCCCCACCCCAACTTCATGCATCTCTCTGAAGCACGCTCTCAGTGTCATCAAGACTTTCAGCGACTACAAGAAATGGCTTGTGGAAGAGATTGGTTTTGGAGGTATGCTCAATCTCCCCGACATTCAGAAGTTAAATCTCAGATGCAGTGCCTGGATTATGAGTAGGGTTAGTGTTAGTCGTAGAGAGTTAAGGCTATCAGAAAGTAAGGTGCTCAAGTTCTATGCTGAGGATGTCTTTAAGGTCTTTGGCATCCCTTGCGAGAACCGTAGCATGAAAGGGAGAGATGCAAATATCAATCCAGAAGCAATCCACTTCATCAAGTCAACCCTTGAAATGAATAAGACAGGAGTGCATAGCTTGCGCGTGGCAGAACAATTCCTGATGCATGATATTAATGAGAATTCTAGCAAGCTCGAGAAAGATTATTTTCAAATTGCATTTGTCATATTTGTCATGGGGCATGTACTCGCTCCGACCACGAAGCACAACTACTCGACCATTGATTTCTGGGGGGCAATTGCCAACACTGAAATGATACAACAGTTCAACTGGTGTGAGTATGTCCTCCAGCATTTGCTCGACACAGTACGAAAACTCAAGAGAGATATGATGATGAACAATCATTCAACCAACCTCACCGGATGTCATTTCTTCTTTCAGGTAGACGTAGTGTAACATTTGTAGTCATGTTTTCCACACATTTGTTTTCGCCTACGTAGGAAAATAAATAAAATGACTTGTATTTGCAGGTTTTTCTGCTCGACAATCTTGATCTTGGTATATTGAATAAGCCACACAATGTACTACCAAGGATCATTGACTTCGACCCGGATACACTAAACAAAATGCTCATCATGGCTCTTGACCCAGTAAAGGGATCTATGTCATATTCCCATGCAAACGTAAGATGTTTCGTGGAAACCTGCATCCCATGTGATTTCTCTCTTTGTACTGGTCATATGCCTGTCTTTTATTTATTTTATTATCATTTTCCATAATCCATTATTGTATACGCTGTCCAGCTCCGAGACCCGGCGAATGTTTGTTATGTGCGACACAAGGTTCAGTACACAATTCCGTTGTCTTCCACCACCAAGCAATTGCCAAGGGCTGGGACCACTCCACGCTCTGCAAAAACTCCCACAACAGAATCTCCTTGTCCTGGTACTGGTTGCCGTCAGGAGAACTTTGCGACTCCAAACACAATGCCACGTGTAGTAGGGCCTTTGGACCTTGCCAACTTCTTGCGGCAGCAGTACCCACACCTCGTATGTTTATTTGTTATACTGTCTGGCATTCAGAGTACTCTGTTTTTCGTATGCTTGCCTGTTTTTCAATTACTCATCTTTTTTTTTGCAGGTGACTGATGAGATAACCATGATCATGAAACAGCAGAATGCCAGCTCAATTAGGCGTTTGACAGAAGCATCCAACGCCATCCAAGTGGTTCTATCGCAGGCAAAAAATGCATTGCAGTCAGATATGCTCAACTATTCAGAGAAAATTCTGAAATCAATTTCAGGTCGGCGCCTTTGCTGTCGTACGCGAGGGTTCACAGAGTGTCATGCATCAGGTTTTACACATGCTCTATCTACGCATGCGGTGTGCATGCACATTCTTTTTTTCTTGTGAACCTCTGATGACTACTAATTTGTCTTTATGTTCTTTCTGTTTTTATTTAGGTGCCGCTACTGCCAAGAATGTATGTTTCAGCACTCCTGTTGGGCAAAGAATCCAGGGGCACATGCTTGATTTGTCTGATGGAGAAGGTTCGGTGCCAACCCCTGCCTACTGTATAAGTGCCCCCGTCCACATGTGTTGTTTTTATAGTTGGTTTCATGACACGCGCCACATACCTGACATGCTATTAATATTGTACACAGCTATGTCACCGCTTAACCAGGGTGGATCATCAAGGAAACGAAACGCAAGCAATGAGGACTCTGCATCCGCAAGAAAAAAATTGATTTCAGAATCATCCATTGTGATTAACTACTTCAAAGACACCATTCGCGAAGTTGCACAAATGTATGCTGATCTCCCAGCGAAGACAACCGTTGCGTGTTTGGCCAAACCCAGGGTAAACTTCCAAAGAGGAAGTACATTTTTCAGCATGGTTATGCAACAAATCCATGGGAGCGTGGAGTTTTACCACTACCACCGCACGCTGAAACCACATATATGATAGTTGCATACTTCTCCAACTTAACTGAGAGTGATCTTCAGAGGTCCATGATGTCATCCCTGCACTTGTTAGGACATTTCAATTTATCTAAATGTTTTGTTCCCCATAGTCTTTTTTCTGACAACAATTTAAATCAATGTTAGTATGATTGTTTTTGCAGGCATTATGTTATCCACCACTCCCCCAGACTTGTCAGTGTTACAGGGATCGCTATGTTTCATCAGCTCATTGGCAGTCGGAGTCTCGATCACGAACTTGCTTCCATTATATGTAGAAGGTACACTCAGTAAGATATGGAAGCCAATAGGTAATGTCCGTACCTCAACTGGAGGCACAACATGGAAACGGAGTTTGCGGTAATGCCCCTTCATCCGCACTCGCTTCGAAAGCTCTGAAGTTATTGACTCTTTATACTTGCCAATGAAGTTATACCCTTATGAGAGTTTTGAACTGTCATTTGATTTGGTTTTACAGACAATTGTACTGTATGACCACGACTATGTGAACAACATTTCGATTCAGAAGCAACTAGTCGGCAAGGACATGCCTTACGATATAACCTCATCTCAGATGGTATTAACAAAACTTTTTACTTCCTATTCTTAAAAGAAAGACTTTATCAATATTTCCCCATGTTTTTGCTATGTGTCCCTAACTCAAAAAATGATTTCCTTTTTGCTTCTTTGCGCAGTTCTTCCTGCCAGTACCCCTCGAAGCTGGATGGGTTTTATTGATGTGGGACATGATGTCGAGGAAGATTCATTTTTTGGACCCGAAGATCAGATGGAATGGCCCTGATGATTTCACAAAAGATAAGCATGAACTTATTGCATGGAAGCTTCACCATACGTTATTCCTGTGCCAGAATGAGTATTATGCTGGATGGCCAACCCAGGATGGTCATTGGGGAACGGTTTACCCAGTAGTAGCCGAAGAAACATTCCTCAGGTATGTACAGGCAACATTTAGCAACCATGCAAATGGTTCATAATTTCTTTTTTTAACACATAAACCCACAGTTGCTGAAATATATCCACCATCAAACTTATTTGTGCAGTGAAGAAACATGTGTTTATCTAATCTAGTTCGTTTTTGAGCATTTGTTTTCATTATTGTCTGACTACATCCAACACAAATATATTGCCTTACACAACACAATGTTGGCAAACCCAAAAGACAGGCACTACATGAGTGTCTTAAACTTCAGGGAAATTCAGCTAGTGTGGTGCATGATGCTCTATGGGCGGCTCTAGCACCCCCAGACAGTCTCTTCAGCTCGAATCAGTCCGAGTAGGCATTCGGCGAGTTGATGGTTGGAGCGTACATATCATTCCAAATCAGCTATCGGTTGTTTGTTGCCATCATGTACTTGGATTCGTGTGTCATGTATTTTAAGAACATCTAGCTCCCAGGGCCCTGCCCGGTAGTATTTTGATATGGGGTATGCTAGAACCTAAACTGTAGCCTACCCGAGACTTGTGCGGATGGTCGCATGATCACGTCTCTGGATCGGCTTTTATCGGATAAATGAAAACTTTTATCTATTTCGAATGCCTTTCATTGTTTTGCTATGTTATCGACAAAGCCTACATGGTTCCATCATTTAGGCCGCTCTTTTGTTATTCACTCCCTTTTCTCTCATGGTCAATGATTATGAACAAACATGTCTGAAGCCTCACAAATTTTTACTTCCTCATATAAATATGTGTTTTCAATTGCCCACAATGGTTATGCTAACACATGATTTAAGTATACCCAAAGTTTCGTTGCACACATGAAATATACGACGATGCATGAGGTACATGCTTGGTCCTTGTTTTTCGCCATTAGTATCTACCATGTTGAAATAATCATGAAGTTGCACCTAGAGACAATGATTTCAGTACACATAGCCGCACATCTTCTTCACATACGTATCATTC